ACTATTAGTCCTATATAGGGCAATTACTTTAAAACATAAGATTAAGAGTAATTTAAGTTGACCATGTGAATAGCGACCGTGAAGTTCATTTTGGGATAGAGGGAGTACTTACTAACTCGAAGGAAAAAAGAGAGGAGGTTGAAAGGGAGTCGAAGAAGGTTGTACAATGGCCGCTAGGCTTTGGACGAAGAAGCAAAACAAGCTGAAAAGGATAAAAACAAGTCACCAAATTCGAGAGAACACCCAAATCATCGGATCTAAAATTTGATCCGAACCCTAGCTCTTGAACCATCACTTGCATTGGAGTCAAATATTCACCATTTTTTAACTTTGGAATATGATGGAATAACGTAAAACGTCTCTCTAAACTGTCTATGTTTTAGATTTTTTAATGGAGGGATAAGGCTGCGTAATCCATATATTTAATCTTACTTCGTCCAAAAGGTGGAATCTCCCACCCCAGGAGCCCCCACCCCGACCCGACAGGATGGTGAGGAGGTTAATCACGGTGACTTAGTCAGCAAAGCGGCGGTAGATCTTATACACGTGTGCACCAGAGGTCCAACCTTATTTTAGGTTCTGTAACCTCCACACGGTCGCTGCGGGTTTCAAACCTTGGTTACTTGGTCCAATTTTCCCACCACTCGACCAACTGAGCTACCCGTGCGGGTATATATATTTAATCTTACAACAGTATAGTTGGGAGCCTTTGCGACACTGGGTAAGGATGGTGATGATAAACGTAAGCCATATATTTAATCTCCAAATTTGAATTTTTTGGAAGACTTTGAGTGTACCATGTGAAACTAAGGGGCTGTTTACTTTTTTTCTCATTAAGTCCTGAATGGATTAAGACGTCTGTCTGCATTAAGCTGTATGTCTGGATTAAGTTAAACTGAGATAACAAGTTGTTTACTAAGTGTGCTGAATGAGAAGTCTGAATCATGTCTAATGACCAAATAACCCTCCTGTCTGTAACAAGTGCTGAATGTATAGTCTCTTTACTTAAATAAAGGAGTCATATTGCATGATAAAACAATGTCAAGAGTTTTACGAGAACGACATTTTAAATTTCAACATTTCATACTAATCTATTAGCAATTTCATCCCGCATACACGGTTTTTGCTTCATATTCAACATACATAGCAATAGCCGTAGGTTTTTCTGCCTGCATATAGGTCTGCCCAGCACCTCCCTTGGTTCCTTCAGGCTACAACATATCTGCCAAAAAAGCTTCTGGTACCTCAGGCGTTGGGTTATTCCCAGTTTTAGCAGCCACTTGCACTTCAGTAGCAGGAGTAGTTTTTCCAGAATTGTTTTCATCAAGATCATTCCCAGATACTGCCAGAACCCCCTGCTGAGTGCTGGAGCTATTTCCGGCCATATCACTCGAGGAAAGCACGAACGAAGTGTGCAGATAGGTTGACCACCTCCCCCCGGCTGGAGAACATGTTCAAATGGTGCTTCTTCAAATATTAAACATCAACCAAACCGAAGAAACCAGAAACAAACACCTAAATCCAATCTATTGTAGAAATTAATTCGTGGGTGAACAGTAACTCCGCGATTACATCAGTTCGCTTTTGAGTTTTTGGCCAAAAATCGTCATTCCAAAAAGCAAATCCAAGCTTTGAAATGTAATCATAGGTGAAATTTGACAAATAAACATCTAGAAAGACCTATAACCAACGCTGATCTGGATTGTTCGAACGAAAATCAAATTAAGCATGAACAGTGAGTTCCGCGCTACATCATCTCGTTTTTGAGTTTATTGGCCATCGTTCATCATTCTAAATCCAAATTCAAGCTTAGAAATGATATCGGAGTAGAAATATGACCAAGAATTAATGGTGTAACCACATAGAAATCTCACATGCGTGAATGAGGGAAAGAACTTGTCGTCCAAAGATGGAAATGGGTCTGTTCCTGTGTCTGAAGCTAGAGGAGTCTATTTTTTTTTTGTTGAACGAATAAGTCGCCTTGTGTCTGCGCGAATAAGTCACCTATTTCATTAAGTTCCAAGTAAACACAACTTAATGAATTAATGGTTAAGTCATTAAGTCCATTAAGTTGGATGGGTGGCTTGGTGACTATATCCCCATCGGGAACATTATAGTTGGGGCCCACCAACCTTCGCCTTTGTTTTCCGGTAACTTTTGACGGCGAGCCAGAAGAATAAAGCTAATGCACGACAACACGAGTGATGCGGTGTTCGGTGTGTGAACAAATATGATGGTAAAATACACGGTACGACCGGCTGTACCGTGCGCACGGTACAGCCGGTCTTGTTTTGGGCTTTGCGCTTCTTCGTTCCGCACCAGAAGAAGATCCGACTTCGCATCAACCTTCGCATCAGTTTCTCCGATCTAGCTTGGTTCTTCGATCTGGCTTTACCACTGGCTGACTGTCGTCAATGCACCACTGGTTTCTTTTGCTCGTCGTCGCCGCTCACGGCTCATCCCCTTCTCCTCTAGCACGGAAGCAGCAGATCCATCTGCGCAATTACTTCTCCTCCCTCTGTCTTTCTTTTCACTACTATTTTTTATTTTTCTCTTTTTCTTATTCAGTTTTGCTGTTTGAGATTGTGATTTTGGAAGACAAAGAGAGCCAACTGCAGACAAAGGAATCCTTATTGCTATTGATCTCAAATGAGTTTTTTATCAAACTCAAATGAGTATACACATAAAAGAAATGAACATACACAACTGAATACTAAGCACGTTAAAAATGAGTTTTATATTAAATTCAAATGAGTATACGCATAAAAGAAATGAACATACACAACTGAATATTAAACACATTAAAAATGAGTTTTATTTTAAACTGAAATGAGTATAACGCCTGAAATCAATGAGCATACACAAATGACCTTTTGAATTTTTTGATACTCATTTTGTAAATTATGTATGCTCATTTGGTACTGCTTTATGCTCATTTTAAAATGTTGCACATATCAAACATATCATACTACATTAAATTCATATATTGAAATTGATTATAAACATCATTTAATATTTTTTTATAAACGAAAAAATAATAAAAAGAAACTGAATTAGAAGATATGAAGCAGAGATCACCGGTGCTCATTATTAGGCTCCCAATACTCAAAAGAACAGACTCGATGCTCATGAAAATTGCATCAATGCTCATTTAAGAGAAATCATGATTTTCACCAAAATTACAAGTTTGCCACCGGCTGTACGACCGGCACTGTACAGCCGGCAGTACCATATACGATTTCAAATATGATGGCATTGATTCATTTAAATTAAAATTCATTTATCTTATGTGGATTGTTAGTCCATACGGAGTGTCAGATGTACTCCTCCGTCCCATAAAATTCTTCTTACTTTTCTTTTTGGGTCGTCCCAAAATATTCTTTCCACTTATCATTTTTGTATAATTTGTGTGGTTCACATTCATTTCACCTTTTTTACACAACCACAATCATACATTTCCACTTTCTTAATCTCCGTGCCAAGTCAAAGTGGGAAGAATTTTATGGGACGGATGTAGTACATATTAGTTTATCAACAAGTTTGCTCATTTTCATTTTCATTTTCATTTACCCCAGTGCCACAAAGGCTCCCACCTACGGTGGGGTAAAGGGAGGTCGGATGTACGCAGTCTTACCCATGTACTAAAGCACAGAGAGGTTGTTTCCGGATGACCCATAGTGAAAATCGCGTCCAAAATTGTATGGACAGAGTGCCGCTCCATAACAAAGAAGCGCAGACAGTTTAGTGAGCCATTTTGCTTTATTCCATTATAATCTCTAGCCAAAAAATAATGAATCTTTGGTTCCATTGCAAATGATAGAAATTTATCAACAAGTTTGCTATTGGTTAAAAATCTTATTTGAGCGTATTATAAGAGTTGAGGTGTTTGATACTTTGATCAAGTGATGTTTAGGTTGGAGGGCATATTGCTATTTTCACAATAGTACGAAAGCGTTTTCCTTGAGAGAATTGAAATCTATTGGATAGAATGGGTATATTTGAGAGGTGGTAAATGAATCAAATTGTCTTATTTAATAATTAGGTATCAAATTGCACCTATGTCAACATTTATTGTACCATTTAACCATTCGAACCCGTATTACTCTCATGTAACATATCATAGTATACTTGCTTCATTATGTAAGTTCAAGGTCCGCATAAAATCCTTTCAGAAAATTATACAGAGTATTTTATTACTTGCACATCATTAAAAAAACACATTTTTAGCTTCATCGGTCCACAAAATTGTTGTGCTTTGCTCGCCAATTGTTTATTCGCGTGCAATGGAAATTATATGAACCAACCATGCAATTGACATGAAACCAACACCTATCATATGGGTTGGAAGTGCAAATCGATAGACGTAGCTCAACCGGTAGCCAGAGGGAAATCTTGCAACCAGATTTTGGGTGTTCAAAATTATTTTACCACTAAGATATTAAATAAAATAATTATTACATCAATTTGTAACATGTATTTTGGTATTGTATCTTTAAAATTTTGGGTGAAGGACCATATTATTAGCCTTATGCAAAAAGAAGATGCATGTACGGTTGTTCTATTTTATTGCCTTTATTTTTTTTATTATGCTGGAACTATGTGGTATGGTTCAGTGACTAACCCAATTGAATTATTTGGCCCCACCCGTTATCAATGGGATCAAGGGTATTTCCAACAAGAGATATATCCGCCCCTGCAGGTAACGAGGGAGTGCCACAAAGATTAGGCCCCTGATTCAAATCCCGGCAACTGCGATGAGAGGTTACTATGCTAAAAAATGCATAGGGTCTCTGCAAGTATCGAGGACAGAGCCCAACTCTCTAATCTCTATCTATCAGATTGCGATTATAGTCCAACTTACATCCTTCCCAACGTACCGTCCGATCGAAATTGGGGAGCCCTCAAGGATGGGGTGTCATTCTTTTTTTTTTGGGTTGGAAGAGCAACAAAACTAGTACCAAAGTCAGTATTAATATTATTTTAACTAAAAAACTAGAACCTTTACCAACAGTATTAAATATTAATACTATTAACAAAAAAGATTTTTCAAATCTCAATCAAATTCGTAAGTATATGTAGAGTTTGTGGACATACAAATGAAGGTCATGCCAAAAGTGGTCTAGAGATCATCAATAATAGTCGATCATTTGATCATTTTTTGGCAAATATGAACAAAAAATTTAAAAGTTAAATTTGAAAAAGAAATGCTACGTATCACAATGGGATAACTAGCTCCTTGCACCAAATAGACCTAGTAAATCCCACTTGGAATTCTGAGGCTTTAAGGCTTTGTTTGGTTGGAGGATTTTGAAGAGAGGGGAAGGAAACTAGATGATTCATGTGTGTTTGGTTGGAGGAAGTAGGAAGGGGAGAAAGGTGGATGACTTTCAAAATCCTCCATTCTCTTAAATTTTAAATCCTCCAAATCCCAAATCAGGGTATTTTGGAGGAAAGATTTGTCAATGTCAAAGTCTTCCTTCTTCTTCTTCCCTCTCCTAGCCTCCTTGCCTCTTCCCTTCCTTCCCCTCCTCTGAACCAAACATGGGGTAAGGGTTTCACTAAACTGTGAAGAATTTGTAACTAGCTAGTACATGCACGGCGTAGATGCCAAATAAGAAGACTTTGAAGGAACTGTTACTTTTCTTATTTTTGGTCCACATAAATGGAAGAAGTGGATGACAATCAATTGAGTATCATCACAAGTAAAGGCTGTCCATTCCCTTATTCCAAGACACACAAACAGATGGAAGACTCATCTCATATGCAACATCATAAGCTCCGGTTGCTCAATAAATTGTTTCCACTCATTGCAGAACTTCGCAACAGTAGCTCCGTCAAGTACTCTATGATCAGCTCCAACGTTTACCTAAAGTTAGCAACGTACAAAATAAGTGATCACTTGAACCGTTTGAGAAAGAAGGTATTTCATGCTGATTATCAATCACTTGCGTACCGTCAAAACTGAAGCTGGATGCACATTTCCATCTTCAGCAAAATGGGGGATTTTTTGAATCCGGCCTATGGCAATGATGGCAACTTCAGGTGCATTGATTAGAGGGGAACCATACTTTCCACCAATTGCTCCAATGTTGCTTAGAGTAAAAGTCCCACCAGATACATCTTCAGGGTCAAGCTTGTTGGCCATTGCCAACTTTTGCAATCTTGAAAGTTCCTTGGTTATCTTCAAAAACAAAGACATAATATCAGATCAAACTCAATACCACAATTGAACATCACAAGCAGACTGTTACATATAAAGACATGACTCCGATGGGAGTATAACACAGGCTATGTGCATTATACAGGATAGTCCGTTTCTTCAATAATAAAAACAGCTTTATTCAATCCTAAAGAGGGAATGCTTTCTTTAAGATAGAATGAGACCTATTTTGTAAGAAAAAACAATTACTGGGCAAAGAAATTGCTTCAAATAGGATTATGAGCATACCCTATTTGTAGAATGTGTTACATTAACCTTCTGTTGTTGTTCAACTGGTCACTGACATCACTATCCACAGGAGGGCAACTAGAGGTTTACCGGGTCGTATGTTACGGATGCATTTTATAGAACCAGCGGGAAGTTTAATTAGAACAGTTTAATTAGAAGAGGGAAATTATCCTGATGCTATTTTTATATTTTTATTTATTACTTCCTATTAGGAATAGAAGTATTAGAGGTTACAGTTTCTATTAGATTAGAACTCCTATTAGGAATAGAAGTATTAGATGTTATAGTTTATGTTAGATTAGAACTCTATCATGTAAAGGCAGGATGCCTATTTATATTCTTTATTCAGCATAATAAAGGTATCGATCATTAGAAGAATTAATCCCAGAGAGAAGTCACAGACTTCCCCCCTACCCCTGCGCTCTTCCAGCCATGGGCAAGAAGAGGAGTAACCCTAGCATGCAAGTTACCACCTCAACCGGGTACCCTGCTACCACAAGTCGTCCCTGGACCCGTTCTCAGTCCCAGAACCCTAACAATTTGGTATCAAAGCCGTCACGATCCATGGCACCACAGAATGATGATTTAACCACCATGATGAAGGAGTTTATGGAGGCTATGACTGCTAGGGTAACCGCCATAGAAGGGCAGATTGCCGCTCTATCTCTGGCAGTCCACAAACGGGATTCCAAATCAACAGAAACACAGGAAGAGCAACCCGATAACAGCCTGATATCACACAGCACCTCAAACCCCTGGAAACCACAATATGCGAAGATGGAATTTCCTGTGTTTGATGGCACCTACGACCCTACCAGTTGGTTGAAAAGGTGCGAAAAATTCTTCTTGAACCAAGAAACTCCTAGTGTTGCAAAGATGAATATGGTTTCATTCCACTTGATAGATGATGCACAACTGTGGTTCGATCAGATGATAGAGGAAGAAGGAGAAGTCAACTGGGAGAGGTTTAAAGAACTCTGTCTGGAGCGTTTTGGGCCCCCTTTGAGTTCCAACCCGATTGGAGATATGAAACGTCTGATGCAGATCAGATCAGTTGATGAATATTGTGCCCAATTTCAGAAGGCCTTCGCAAGAACTTCACAAATACAGTCCACCCATCTAGTTGCTTTGTTTGTCGCCGGTCTCCATCCCCACTTACGGGCTGATGTGGAGATAGCAAAACCAGGCAACCTGGGTTACGCAATGAACCTTGCACGGACATTGGAAGCAAGGCAAACACTGACGCTTGCACCTGTAAAAGTCTCGGGTACTACAACAGATATGAAACAACGCAGCCCGCCACAGCTTAGACAAGCGCTTGTGACAACAAAGGCAGGAAATCCCATTGTTAAGCGACTCACGAAGGATGAAATGGCAGAAAGACGAGCAAAAGGGCTATGTTATAATTGTGATGAACAGTGGAAGATGAATCACCGATGCAAAAAGCTTTTCTTGATCGAGATAGAAGATGAGCAGGAAGAAGATGATGGCTTCCCAGACTTAGAGTTGTCTGCCAACGCTATAAGTGGAACTATTATTTCAATGGCAAGGCAGCACACCAGACAAGGCCACTTGGGAACCGTTTGACACTTTTATCACTGCTTATCCAGGATATGAGCTTGGGGACAAGCTCAGATTCGAGGGAGGGAGTGATGTTACGGATGCATTTTATAGAACCAACGGGAAGTTCAATTAGAACAGTTTAATTAGAAGAGGGAAATTATCCTGATGCTATTTTTATATTTTTATTTATTACTTCTTATTAGGAATAGAAGTATTAGAGGTTACAGTTTCTATTAGAATAGAACTCCTATTAGGAATAGAAGTATTAGATGTTATAGTTTCTGTTAGATTAGAACTCTATCATGTAAAGGCAGGATGCCTATTTATATTCTTTATTCAGCATAATAAAGGTATCGATCATTAGAAGAATTAATCCCAGAGAGAAGTCACGGACTTCCCCCCTTCCCCTGTGCTCTTCCAGCCATGGGCAAGAAGAGGAGTAACCCTAGCAGGCAAGTTACCACCTCAGCCGGGTACCCTGCTACCCCAAGTCGTCCCTGGACCCGTTCTCAGTCCCAGAACCCTAACATCGTACTAGGTTGTTAACTTCAGGGCTTGAGGGATTATTCAGGACAAAGGTCCTGGACAGCCGCTTTATGAAAATACGTGTTATGATTTAGTCATATTTATAAAATTCTCTCTTACATACATACATGTGTGTGTGCGAGTGTGTGCATGTGTCTGTCTGTGTGTATCCTACTCCCTACTGTACAGGTAGATCAGAACATAATACAAAGTATATCGCCAGAGGAAATCATAAAGGAGGTGCAAAAGTTTATACCACATTTTTTTCTGTTACTAGTTTTATTTGCAAGGAACAGCAAATTTTATGCTTATGGAAATATTATGTCTTTTATCCAAATGGAGACCTGGAACTACAAATCAGAACAAAATGGTGCAGTTATATATTATGGAATACTTCCTTTTTTTCTAGATAATCATTATATTTTTATTTAATATCATGGAACATTTTGTGGAATAAGTTTCTTCATAATGATCCTGTCATCCTGGAGATTTTATGTACTATTAACAAGCATTATATTTACTCAGGTAAGATAAACTGACCTCCAAGATTGATAATGACTGCACCTTCTTTATGTTTGGAACAACTAAGCCATGTGGAGTAGCCATTGCAACCCCAATGTTGTGAGATCCTGAATTATACACAAAAAAGACAGTGATAAATGAGGAGCACATCAAGTGTGATACCATACAAAAGAATGAACTATGAACATGAGTTGGCATGTGTAGCAATATCCTAAATGCTACACTTAATCATAATGTGGAAGTCAGATATCACATTTTCTTTAGCTATTACACGAAGCTTTTCAATGTAATGTTCCTAATTCAAAAACATCATAACCATCTTTAGCATTCTCAAGGGTTCAAAGACACACACACACATACTCACTCACACTCGCACATGCGTGCATGCACACACATTCATATATCCTAATCACCAAAATAAGAATATCCCTAAAATCATCAAAGGCTCGTATCGTCACACCTCAAATCATCAGTCCGGAGACTGTCATGCAACTTGTGAGATTCTCAAACTGAAAAAGATCCAGTAAAGTTACAAACCTTTTACAGTGACTTCATAAAGCTCCTCTTTGAAGCAACTATTTAGCATGGGATATTTAGTAAAAGCCATTGAAAGAGACTTCAATAAGAAAGGAAGAAAAGTGTGCTTGACTTCTGGATCAGAGTTTGCCTTCTGGAATGATCTTTTGAGCTGTAGGAGTGCATCACAATTTATCTCTTCAATATAATGAAAATGAGGAATTTTTGCAGCCAGGGTCATTGATTTAACCATAGCACGTTGAAATCCCCTGCAAGGTAAAACATCATGAGAAGCTGATTTGCCAAATAAGTTTCATGGTATTGTAACCATCTTGCATTAGAGAAGATCAAATGCTTATATTGAGCTAAAATAAGAACTGGGTACATGATAGGAATCAGTGCTTTGGCAAAATGTATAAGTCTGCACATGTAAAAGACTAAGAGAGAGAGAAAAAGAGAGAGATAAAGCAGCGAAATGGATTTTAAACACCCACCCATTTTTTAAATATACTCTCTATGAACGATCAAGATAAGAATGATTTCGGAGACAGTCTGTCATTTGCAGTGACATCTGGGTACTGAGCAATGAAATTTGAAAGCATGCTATACCTAGCACATTACGCTTTATGTTACTCAGAGGTGCTAAATTGTGTCTATCAAAGTCATGACTACACAGCATTATAAATTTTGATCATATTCAATTCTTTGAAATATCTTTTGTAATTGAGTGAAAAGGAAAATAAAAAAAAAGGTAAAGTCGAGAGGACTAGTTTTACATAGTGTAAGTGAATTACTGATTACTACATTCATAACAAAATTGTTACTATTCCAAAGGGTAAACAACCTTAGGAGAATTGTTGTGTCTTCATTACCCAACCCACGAGAAGCTGAAATGTCAGGGTATGTGATGTCCACACTATGTAATTGTTCTGCAGGATTTGGTAGTGCTTGTGAATTAACTAAGGTTCCTCTGTGGACTGCTGCATAGTTTAAGACATCCTCTTTCAGTATCCGTCCATCCTTTCCAGTTCCAGGGACAACATTTATATCTACACCATACTGCTTTGCAAGGATACGGACGGCAGGAGTGGATAACACTCCACCAATCCTCGAATTTATAACAGCAGAACTATGATCATCTATGCTACTTGCCACACTCTTAACTTCTTTAACATTTTCAGAAATATCTACAGCTTGAGTAGGAGCTGAAATTCTATCCACAGCAATTTTCAACAGAGTCTCTCCTACCTGCAAAATCATGTGATCGCATATTCTTGCGTCTTTAGACACTTTGACTGGAAGCTACAAGCAAAACAAACAATCCCTCTTTCAAAATAGTCACTTTTATTTGTTCTCAAATAGTTGTTTTACACCAAGATTTTATCTATTACATTTTCCCATTCTAAACTTAATTACTATGGTGTTATTTCCCACCTTATACAGCATATACTCAAGCTTTCCGGATTCCCAGCCTAACCTTCACGATGTTCCCGGGAACATGAAGAATGTGAGAGATTGTTCCCTTGTAACGACTTGTTATTTCTATGGTAGCCTTGTCACTCTGAACTTCACAAAGTGGCTGAAATTCTTCAACTTGGTCTCCCTGAAATCATATTAACTGAGTAATATAAACACTGAATCTTTTGAATGATTCAGTCATCTTTGCACTTACAATACTAGCCTAACCATAATAGATACAAACATGGGTAAGCATATCAAGTAAATCAATCATGGTCGCTACAACTTACCTCCTTAACAAACCATCTTATAAGCTCGCATTCAGCGATCCCTTCACCCGTTTGTGCTAAAGGTACATCCAGTATTCCACCCTCTGGCTCAAAAGCCTCAGCTTGAGTTGAAAAGCAACAGCCTTTCAGGCCAAATGTAACTTTCAACTGCCAAAGAGAAAATGGATAACAAAAAGTCAGATTTTAGTATCAATAGGCGTAATAGCCCCCAAAAATTGGATTTGAATTGTTTGAGTTCTTCCTTCATACATACAAATCGTTGATTCTATTGCCTCTGGAGGTCTCGGGAATAAAACTGGACTGACCAGAAATTCCATTTTGGAAATTTAATCAAATAACAAGAAACCGTAGCTATCAGCAAAACAAAAACGAGAAACTCACAGTCGCAAGCCTACTAAAGGAGCTAAAAGACGTCGTCGCACATCGAGCGGAGTGGGCTGGAGAGTAACATACGGCAGCTGGAACGATCGTCCATGCCTTCCGCCCTCCAGATGCTCCCGGAGACGGTGAAACACTGGTAAGAGAGAAGAACCACCGCCGGTCGGAAAAAGACCGTATCTTTTTCCGATAAATTTGCCGGCAAAGCATCATACTACAGAGAGAGGGGGTGAATTATTTATCTCTAAGTTTTCTTTGAAATGCCATCCATTACCGTTCGATCGGAAGCAGCGCAGAAGATAAAAGATTGAAGGAACTTGAAGCAAAGCGTCGTATGTAACGACAGATGATCGGCCTCGTACGGTTGTCGTACACCAAATCCCAACAGCTTATAGGCAAATTATTTTTTATCGCACTCGACACTTCACATGCACTGGCGGCATGAAGGGAGCAAAGGAAAGCAACATTTGGACAGGGGATTCTCTCCTGGCAAGGAAAAACTTGGAAAAGAAAAATTAAAGAACGGATAAGTAGTTCAATCGGAGGGTTCAGATTATTTCAAAAATTAAAAAACTTGGAATAGAGAAGAAAAAAGAACTCCAGCCGCGATGAAATGCAACGGTTAACGGCATCTCCGTTGCATGTCCAGTTCAGACCGCATCATACCAGATTTGTATGGTTATAAAAATACAAAGAAATCAGACCAGACCAGACAAGACTAGACAAGATCAGACCAGATCAGACCAGATCAGACCAAACCAGACCAGATCAGCAAATTACAGTCCAAGTAAAAACATCTCTAGTCTCAATAAAATGTGTCAAATGTCAAATAAATAAATGAGTTTCTAATACACATAATACAAAATTTAGAAACCCTATGGCGGCCACCGCTCGTAGGTAGCAATACTGGCGGACTACACAGACACCAGAGGAGGGTGTACCACCAGGCTAGGGTACGAGGGCAGGTTTTCGACCAAGGGCAGGAGATTTCAGGGGGCTGTTTTTTTAGTCCGCTGCAGGAGAACATTCACGGGATTTGCCTTCCCTCGATCGCAGCAGGGGTCTTCAGGGTTGTCGTTTGGGCAACGCGTAGCCGTATTTTTCCGATGGTGTTTCGTTCAGGCGAGCACGACGCCGAGATCCTCAGTTATTGGCAGCAGGCGTGGAGGGCACATTGAGAACTCTCGCAAGGTAGCGACATGAGTATTTTATCGTGGAATTGTAAAGGACTGGCAATTGGGGTAGAGGAAGAAGAACTGAATCTAGATGAAGTTGATGCTGAGGGTGTGGCGGATGAGCGGCGGGCGCGTCCCCCTCCGAAGCCGCTGCCCTGGAGTACAACGCCTAAGTGGATTCAGTTTCAAAGGCAAAAGATTGGGGTGCTTGTGCAGGTTAACCAGTTCGGGCGACAGATCAAGTTTTTCAGTTTTATTTTCTTATTTCCAGACTATTCTGTTTGTTTTGGGTGTTGTTTTGTTTTTGTGTTTCCTTTCTGTAAGACGATTGATTTGGATATGGGGATAAGAGAATTGGGGTAATCGTCTTTGGCTCATTTGTGCCCATTAATGGATCAATGAGTTTTATTGCTTCTGTTGAGGTGATTAACTCTGAGTCTGGTTTGCGGGACGGAGGTTGTCAGGATGCTGTTTGTCAGATTACTCATTGTCTAAATGTTGAGATATCAATATAACTCTAATTCTTCCAAAAAAACACATAATACAAAGTGAGGTGATTAGATATTAAAAGAGGTTTCCGATGCTATCACTTCTTAAGGTCTAACCGTCCAATCCTAGTAATACACTTTTGGTTAATTTATTACCATTGCCATTTACAATAAAAAAATTACGGCAAGCACCTTCCTTCATTTTTACTCCGTGATACAGATGCATCGCACAATCATGGAGCTCCTCCATAGTTAGCTTTTTTACGTTTAAAACACGTTTTAAACACGAAATAATGGCCTAAATAACACTCTGTCACTTTTAGTTGACAAAAATATGACCAATTATCGATAAGACAAATAAGTGACCAAAACTCAATTAGAGTTGCAGAGCAATTAAACAACGATCTTCTCTCCTTCGTCATCTCTTCCTTCCCCAGATCTAGGCCTCCAAGCCTCCAACGACTGGCAAAGATGGTAGATGAGCTCTGTTGGAAAAATGTGTTAAAAATTGCATTAAATTGTCTTTTTAGGGCAATTATTTGAGTGAGGTCCACTTCTGATTTGGGTCGGGTCAAAGTGGTTTCGGATCGTCCTTGTTAAGGGCTACATTTCGATATATGGTACGCTCAAAACGGATAACGGGTGAATGAGAAATTGATTCTCGAAGTTCACTCGTTGAAATGGAAAACTGGGAAAATAATGGGTTTCTAGTGTGTTTTATCCCACACCGGAAAACTCAAGGGATTTTCATCCCCTTATAAAGGGAAGCCTCTTTTAGGGAGTTAAGATTCCTAAAGGTAAAGGCTCTCTCTTACGCGCAGGGGGGTGCCAATCAAATCCCTAAACGGAGAAGAAAAACCACGACTCGTGTGTGCGAGCGACCTGCGGACACGAATTCCCGTAACATTTTATTTTTTCCAGAACTGCTCCGCTTTCTATTGCCTTCCGGACCAGAGAACCTAAGAGGTTTCTGTTGGACACCAGAGAACCTAAGAGGGTTTCTGTTGGATCAGAAGACCTGAGGGTTTCTGTTGGCTTCCGGATAGAAGGCCTTGGGGTCTTCTGGTGGAGGTATTCTGTTCGCACCAGAAGGTCTTCTGGTCCGTTACAACAATAAATGTCCAACGTTCTTCTCTTTTAATGCTACGTTAAATGGACAGTTTATGGACGATTCAATGCCCAACGGACTGGTCATTCATGTCCAACGTTCAGGTCCATTAACACCCCATTTAACACACAACAAATCCTCCTATAAATGGCTAGCAGGTGGTTTGCAACAAACACATTCTTACACGTTCACAACCAATCATACACGTATTTTAGCTCTCAAAAACACCTTCAGCTCTATGAAAATTTCCCAAGTGTTCTGCTATTGTTCCGGTTCGCCGGGACTTTCGTTTGTGTGCTCAAACGATCGTTCGTTAGCCACCGTATCCTGGGAAATGGTCGTTGCAAAGCTCCTAGCACCGTGGGAGGCGACGAATACGTTTTAAGGACATCGTGTGTAGCACGAGCTCTGGCTAAAATCTGCTTCATCCTATTTTTCTGTTTTCTTTTAGCTATTTTATTTATTAATTAATTTTATTTAATTAATATTTTTTCATTTTTCCGAGACACACCCAACAATCTTAAAACGTATTCGATGACTGTTCTACTCCGGTAAACAATTCTAAAACGTATTTTCCTTGGTTGTTGTACTGCGGTAAACAATCTAAAAACGTAGTTTGTCACTTCGGTGAACGAACTTATTTTTTATGTTTTCGGAAAACGTTGAAAACGTTAAAATGGCTTCACAAGAAATTGGAAATGTAGGTGGACAGAACTTGCCAACAGACACTCACTCTGAAAGTGGAGCACCGGTGAATAATGGTTCACAACGCGGTGCATCTACTTTGGGCAACCAAGGGGCAATCCCTATGGTTACCGTGCCGAGCAACTCTGTGGAGAAACCCGGAAAATTTAACGGGTTAAACTTCAAGAGGTGGCAGCAAAAGATGCTATTTTACCTCACTACTCTCGGTCTTGCTAGGTTCTTGACCGAAGATGCGCCGGTAGCAACCGGGGGTGAGGTGGATGTGCAATCTTTCAACGCGGTTGAAACTTGGAAGCATTCCGACTTCCTTTGCCGAAACTATGTGTTGAACGGGCTGCATGATGCTTTGTACGACGTGTATAGCAAATTAGCTACGGCTAAGGAGCTATGGAATGCTTTGGATCACAAATATAAAAGCGAGGATGCCGGTGCAAAGAAATTTGTTGTCGGCCGATTCCTTGATTTTAAAATGGTGGATTCGAAGACGGTCTTGAGTCAAGTTGAGGAAATGCAAATGATCTTCAACGAAATTCGAGATGAAGGAATGACAGTTAGTGAGTCAAATGGACGTAAAAACCGCTTTTCTAAATGGCGATATAGACGAAGAAATCTATATGGAACAGCCCGAGGGATTTCGTGTTCCTGACCAAGAAAGGAAAGTGTGTAAATTAATTAAATCATTGCACGGATTGAAGCAAGCCCCTAAACAGTGGCACGAAAAGTTCGATCATGCAATGTTAATTAATGGGTTTAAAATAAACGAAAGTGACAAATGCATCTATGTGAAGAACACGATAGACGGCTATGTCATTTTATGTTTATACGTGGACGATATACTCATCGTGGGTAGCAATAATATGATGATTAATTCTACCAAAAGCATGTTAAATTCTAAATTTGACATGAAGGATATGGGGCTGGCCGATTTAATCCTTGGGATTAAAATAATTAGGGGACCAGACGGTCTTACGCTAAGCCAATCCCATTACGTTGATAAAATCCTTACGAAATTTAATAAGGATGATTATCAAGAGGCAAGGACTCCATTAGATAAAAACGTACAACTTACCAAAAATCGTGGAGAGTGTATTTCTCAAGTAGAATACGCTAGGATTATTGGAAGCTTGATGTATCTAATGAGTTGTACCAGGCTTGATATTGGCTTTGTGGTTAGTAAGCTAAGTAGATATACTAGCAACCCCGGTGATGAACACTGGAAGGTAATAGTAAGGGTTTTGAGGTATTTTCGTAAAAACCTAAAACCTTGGACTGCACTATGGAAGATATCCAGCTGTACTTGAAGGGTATAGTGACGCTAGTTGGATATCCGACATAAAGGACTCCAAGTCCACAAGTGGATATGTTTTCACTTTGGGAGGTGAAGTCGTGTCATGGAAATCCTCAAAACAAACGTTAATAGCTAGATCCACGATGGAGTCTGAGCTAATAGCCTTGGATAAGTGCACTGAAGAGGTTGAATGGCTACGCCATTTTCTCGAGGATATTCAAAGTTGGGAAAAGCCTGTCCCTCCAATATGCATACATTGCGATTGTCAAGCGGAAATTGGAAGGGTACAAAGCAATATGTACAATGGTAAGTCTAGACACGTTCGTCGTAGACATAACACCATTAAACAACTCCTCACAACGGGTGTTATCACTGTTGACTACGTGAAGTCAAAGGATAACATAGCGGATCCGCTAACCAAGGCATTGGATAGAGAATTGTTGGAGAAGTTGTCACGAGGAATGGGACTAAAGCCCGTGAATTGAAAAGTTCTATAGTGGATACCCAACCTAGTTGGTCCTAGGTTCAAAAGGGACAACTAAATTATAGAGCGAAGGATGGTCACTGTGGGGGTCCCGGACTCCTACCCGATCCTCGTTAGAACAGTGACTCCCGCACGAGGTTAGCAAAAACGTTTGCTTTAATGATTCTAAAATGTTGATCTACTCGATAACATTGGAAGAGTATGCGGGATACTCGTGAAAGAATCACCTATTTGAGAGAGAAGAGGGCCGCTTCAAAAGAGAACTGTAAAGGCTCAGTTCTTTAGAAACTCTTGCAGAACCAGG